AATTGCAAAACATAAAACCTTTTTCCTCTTTAGTTCAGAAAAAGAAAAGTAGTTAACCTAATTAAGATCTGGCTTGATCAAAATGTTCTACTACTTATTGAACTATACAGTTAAGTGGCCTATCTTTTATAGGCATTAATCGATTAATATCTGGTTTTCGAATTCGATATAATCTATAAACAACTGCATTACTATCAAGTCTTCCTCCTTCTTCAGATCACTCACTAACTTCTCTAACCAGAAATTTTTCGTCTATTCCTACCCAAAAGCCTGGTTTCATTTTCTTTGTAAGTATGACGTTTGGACCTCCTTTGGCATATTTTCCACCTGCCTTTTTTGATTCATGAATAGGCTCATATTTATCACTAATTTTAAAAGTTATCTTTGTTTGAAATTTATCTCTATATACAGAATCATCTCGAATGAATTTTACTCTTATTAAGAACTTACCATTATTAATCGCATTTAAAATTTCTCAGGCTTGCCTTTCGGTTATTCTAGCTTCGAATTTTTTTGATTCTATTTGATCTTCCACATATATTAACCAGTTTTTATTCCTTTTATCCGATACTCTATATGTATTTACTGCCAATTTTATAATTTTATTGATTTCTTCTTCTGAATAATTCCAATATAGACATTGTAAAAATACCTCCTGCATAGCTTCATTTTCATTTTCTGCTTCTAATATTACACTGGCCAAATCAATATCTGTAGCTTCTGTAAACCTGGTTGAGAAAACATATTCAGCTCCATCTACTTTGAACATATTTTTTGCATACTGAATTCCATTTTGTCATATTATATGATACTCTTCATTATATAGAAATCAAACTGGCTATGATACTTTTACATCTAAATCTAGAAATCCTTTTTCATGAATAGATAATTCTTAAACAGGTTGCAATTCTATATTATCTAATGGTATGATTTGTTAAGTTACTATTTCTTCTGATTTAGTAAGTCTACCTTCATGATGAGCTTGGGTATGAGGGCCTGGATCAGCTTCAGGAGAGGCATAGCCTCGAGTCTTTGACTCATTAATTTTTGGCTGTATCATTGGAAATGTCTCATGCTGAAGATTTGTTTCCTTGATTTCAGGTTCATCAAAAAATCCTTGCTCTTCATGTTTTTCTTCTTCTGTTGCAGGTCAGAAATATGCATTTGGATCTAGTTGCAATAATTCATCATAAAGAGCTTTGGTTTTGGCCAAATTTTTTGGCTGACCATGATTCTTGTCACTTAATTCTTTGACTTTTTTTTATAATCTCGATCCCTATTGTTTAATAGATTCATCTGGCCTTCTGGCATTAGGATCTTGAGACTGTAAAGTTGAATTAGTTATAAGTTTGGGATCTTTCAAAGAAAGTGTATTCTGTATATTGGGAATTGGTACAGTTACTTGTGATATAGGTTGAGTATTACGAGATAATTGCAATAAAGCTAGGCATGGCCTATTTCATATTAGATCTATATGCTTATTAAGATCTTTTGTTTTCTTAGTTTTAGGGCTTCATCCACATCCTAGACATTTACCTACCATGTTTTCCAGTATTTTTTATTATATATTAATTATTCAGATCTTTTGTTTAAATAAAAAATATTTATTTCACTTATATTCTACCTTTTTATAGTACTTGCTCAAGCCAGATCTTAATTAGGTTAACTACTTTTCTTTTTCTGAACTAAAGAGGAAAAAGGTTTTATGTTTTGCAATT